ATCTACTGAAAAAAAAAAAAAAAAACAACCATAGAAACCATTTAGATAACTACTTTTGGCCTAATGCAACATTAGTGAAAGTGAAAGCTTAATTACCATAATGCCTTGAATTTTTTTTATTGATTATGATTTATGAGGATACTAGCTATTACTGAAGGTAAATGATTCTTCTAGAGGAGTCACACTACTGAAGCAAATGCTATCAGTATAATTACTAAGAAGAATAATGCATGCCATTAGACATTAAAATGATAATTTGAGCAAAGGTAGTGAAGTACAACAAAAAAAGATAAAAAAAAATCAATAATTGGATGTTTAGTAATGTAGACATATATAGTTTAATTGAGAAAAAATTCAATGCTTTAGTTGCCATCAATAATCATTTTCCCGATAACATAAGGTTGAATGAAAACAAAAGATTAATTAGTGGAAAGGTTGAAAGAAAATAGGCAAATTAGTTCATATGGTTTAGATTACTAAAGAAAGTAATGATTAGACTTTAAATGGGGCACACGGCTAAATTTATAGAAATCTGTTTAATTCAAGCACAAATAAGTATACTATATATATATATTAATATTAATTAAAAAACTTTAAATTAGAATTAAGATTAAATAAACACATCATGATTCTATTCTCTTACAATTTATTTATAAATTATATATAGTTAGGATATGAACAATGTATATAATCTCTAATGAAACCAAAAGCCTAAAAATTTCAATCATATTTTTATAGAAACATATAATCTTTGATTAAGTAATTAATATTCCTATTTCAAATAAGTTATATACGAACAATCTAAAGTTGAATTGAAATAAACCTTTTTCTTTTTTTTTTTAATTTGAATGAAGACTAGAATAATTTTGCTTACACAAAATTAGTTAACAAAGTATTATCACATTATGCTGATAACAATCAAAAATCGACTTCTCAAAAGCCATTTGATAGGCATGTCTATCAAAATAATTATTATTAAACCATTATTTATAAATATTTATAAAAAAAAGTCCAAAAACAAAGTACTTTACCTAAAAGCAACCATTTTTAGGAAAATTGTATCCACCTACAAGAATAGAAAATCATGATTCCCTCCAAAGTTGTGGTCATCTACAGAGATCCATTAGTAAAACTTCATTTAATTTGATTTAAATGATGCTTAATGCTTTTAAAACTAATAAATAAACAAACAAACTAGAAATCATACATGCATGCAAGGACAAATATATCAATAAATCATAGCAAAAAATTCCAAGTTGAACTTTGAAAAACAAAAAAAAAAAAAAACACCAAATTCAATTTTAACAAAGTGTGAACAAATATCAATTTTTTTAGAGCAAATCAGATCAACTAATAAATCATGCACAAAAAATTCAATCATAAGAATAAGATTAATTAGATACCTTTGGATAAATGGTACCATCTTTTTCAACAATCCAACCACCTTCGACAAAAAAAGCTTTAAGGACCTCATTGTTATAATAGTGCTTAGGTAAATTGTAATTTCCTTGAGCTTTAAAGCCAATATATATCTTAGCAACAATAGCTCTTTTTCTTTTGTCTCTCTCTTTCTCTCTCTCCTCATGTTATTCTTTCTCTCTTTCCACGATGATTTCCTTTTTGGCATCGATGTTGGCATCACCTCATCTAACATCATTTTTTTTACTCTAGTAACAGTGGTAAAAGTGTAGATTTTAGGCATGACAAGGCATGGGGGTGCATCGTAAAGGATTGTTATAAAAAAAATGAAGGTATGGTTGATTTTAGAGATATACTTCATATTTGGTTCATTGCAATATTTTTTTAAAGTAGTAACAGGTTTTTAACATAAGTAAATAAGATTTTGGTCAGACTGAAAATGATATCCATTCTTTAAAGATAGTTTTTGAAAGATTATGCCAGCCAAAATAACTAATTATAACCCATTACAAATAATAGAAAAATATTCTAGAAAGATACAAATGCATTAACATTTAGCATTCAAGATGTTCCTAATTGTCTCATTAGAACTCTTGCACATTTGCTTCAAGTTAAACTCCTTAACATGAGTTTCATCTGGCATTCACCAACACCTATAATAATCCAATTACTCTCCTAAAACAATAAAAAAAACAAAAATTAACCAAAAAAAAAAACTCCATGCATGAAAAAAAAATATCTAAATACAAAAAAAAAACCCATAAACCACAAAAACAATAGTTTGTATAACGCATGAAAAAATGAAACAATAAAACAAACAACATACATACACATAAGAAACAATGTCAAACAACTCAAATTAACAGTTAAAACATTCGAAATTTCTTCATCCACCAGAAAAACCCATAAAAATAAAAGAAAAAACATGAAAAAAAGAAAGAATCGACCATCCAATAAAAAAATCTCCAATTACTATTAAAAAAATAGTTAATAGAAAACAATCAACATACCAAAAAAATCAAAACACAAAAATGAATTCCATAAACCACAAAAACAACAATTTGAACAATGCATAAAAAAAAAAAAACTAAAACAACTAAAATTATCTATTCAATAGTCTTGAATTCACCATCAACGAAAAAAAACAAAAAAAATGAAAAACAAAGACATGAGAAGAAAAAAAACGAACATACCAAAAAAATGAAAAGAAATGAGAAAAAAAGAAGAAACATACCTCTAAGAACCAAAGAAAAAGAAGCAGAGAAATAGTGAAACCTAAGAAGAAAAGTCTGAAAACAAATAAAAGCATGATTGCCTAACTTGGTTAAAAGAACACCCATTCCCAAATTAACCCGCCAATCTTTTTTAATAACATTGTTGACTTATCAAAGTTACAACTTAAAAGGGATAGTTATTATATATACTTAATTTCATGCTTGGAATGTCCCACACATACTCTCTTTCACATTACTTAGAATTTTTCTCCATGTCAACCATATAGCAAAGTGGTAACCTTTCATCAACCTTATCATTGTTTAGACGATTGTAGATTCCAAGAAAATGCTGTTAAATTCTAATAAAATAATTATCATTTATAATATATTAATTATTCAATGAATTTAACAAAAAAAAAGTAAACAAATTATAAACACCAGACTTGTCTTGTAGCATATAACTGACACCTTGTTGTCTAGACTTGTGGACATGGGTAAGTTTTGATCAAGTCTTTTAATTTGTTTTCTTAAGATATTAGCTATAGTGGAATCAATGGGTATCAATGGAGGATTGGCACAGATTCAATGGTGCGTGTTTTATGGCTAAAGGTTCAATGGATGAAGACCTGACCCTTGGATGCTAAATGGATGAAGAATCAATGGATGGAGGCTCAGGTTGATGAGCACCTTGGAATAATGTTTTCCATCTAGTTGTAAATCCATATACATATTTAGATTTATTAAAAACATTCTCGTTATATAGTATAACTACAATATACAATAAATAAAATATATCAATAATAGTCAAATTAAGTTAAACAAAATATATCAATAGAAAATATCAATATAAAAGTGTGTCAATAATATATCATTACACTATTTATTATCTCAACAAAAGTAAAAAATAAATAAGTTAAATGGACATAAATAGAATGCAAAGGATGAAAATAAATTAGGTTTCTAATCATCATCATCAATATCATCTTCTTTATCCTCTTCATTTTCTTGTTCTTCTTTATCATCTTTTTCATTTTCATATTCTTGCTCTTTTTTCCTTCTTCGTCTTTATATTCTTCATCACCATCATCTTTTTTTCTTTAAATTTTTTTATTTTTCAAAATTTTTCTCTTCGTAATCACCATGAATAAGAACTCTAAAATTGTCAAGGTATTCTGAATGTGTAATATTTCTCAAGTTAGACACTTCCATTTCTTAATAAATCCCTTTATTCAAGCAATTATGTCATCATCACAAGTACAAAGTCAAATTTACTTCTAACCTTTGTTTTGAACACAATCCACTAACAACGATCTTTTTTTTTATATGGATAAGTATTATAATACAATTGTTGACTTTACTCAACTAAAACAAATGGTTTATTACTAGTAGATAGATCAAAGGGAAAGGATAAGGGAAAGATGAAGGAGTGGGATCAATGTCGATCAATCGATTCGGGAATGATCAAGATTAATCTTCCCTAAACCAAGCAAATTGACCTAGATTTGCCTCAGGCAGACCGACTGACACTAGTCCCAACTCATTTTTTATTTCCCTTTTCTTTTCCTTTTTTTTCTCCACGATTTCCTTCTCTATTTCTTTTTTTAAATTTTTTTAAGATTTTATTTTTTAAAAAGAAAATTTCAAATTATTTTTCTTAAAATTATTTAGTTTTTTGTATTTTTTTTTTGGAATTGTTAAAAATATTTTTTAATTTTCTCTTTTATTTTTAATTTTTAAAATGACATGCCAATCACGTAAGTTTCACGTAATAACCACGTGTTATCCACGCGTGCAATGTTTGTAAACTAGTAGAAGTTTTACTGACTAATCACTACCTTATCAAATTTTGTTAATCGTGTTAGACAATAACATAAATTAATATTCAGATTGAAAAATTCTTGTACTTAATAAATTTTTTAATACAAGTATCACATTAGATTTTTTTCAACATTGCACAATTATGGAGGACATTATTTCTTTTAATTTCTAATATTTTGAATAGACAAATAAAAAGAATAAGGCCGGGGGTAACAATTTGAGACCTTTGTTTGTAAAAACAAATTCTAAATTACTCCAACAACATTTAAGCATCAAAGTGCAAATATCGCCCAACATCTGTACAGTTTTTTAGGAATTTTGGATTTCTAATTTTAATGATTAAAGTTTAAATCTTGACAATATCAATAATGCACATATCGAAGAAAGTAATGGTTTGATGTTTTAATAAAGTGGTGCAGCATGATAAACTGATCCCCATTAATCCAGCATCAACAATTGTACATGATAAATTAGCTTTTAGCATTTTTAAAGCATTAACAGTTAGAAACTTTTAACAACATTATGTTTATTATATTAGTCAGCATAAAAAGTCCAAAACAATAAGAATACTCTTTCAACCCATAGCAGGAAGAAAGCCATGTAAAAGATTGTCACATTTTATTAATAGTGATTAAGTAAATATAAGCTGAAATAATACAACCCAAATAGCATATAATTGGGCAAATAGGGGGTTGATTCAAAAGCCCCCTTTATTAGGTACCCAAATAAACCTGTAAAATGTCTTGTGCATTTACAAGACAGAATGCTTATATGTACAATCTTCCTAAGCTAAGTTTATTTTGGGTAAACATGAGTTAGAATATTCTAACATGGTATTTGATGTTGCAATCTTCTTTGGATCAGAGCTCGGGTCTGCCTCCACAGTCTCTGTGCCTCAGATTCATCATTGGCTAAGGCTGAGCAGTTGGTCTCATTGCAGTCTGCAAAGTATTTCCCACTTATCCCTTGTGCTTGTGGGCTTAGTGCTACATAGCAGCTAGTTGATGCACCCTGTATTAATTCACAATTTCCAATTGCAACATCAACACAACTCCTGCTACTTTAACATTATGCTACAAATAAATATATTTATGTTTAGTATATTAAAACTGATAGGCAGCTAGATATGCAGACAAAGACAAACCTGAGAGGTAGATTTCAGCAACTTGGATGCAATAAAGAAAATAGAATCTGCATGCATATAGATTATAAGATGATTGGTCAGCTTTGATCATCATTGAAATGAAGAAGAATTTTTTAAAACGCAACTGTGAAGCATTTTGTTTACAATGGATACAGGAGACTCTTGCCTGTAATAAAGCCCTTGTGAGCTCTGATAATTCCAGTCTTTACAATTCCTGGATGTACTGCATTGATTGTTACTTTTGCATGTTTCGCCTGCAAAACAGCAATAGTAGCGATTGTCATGTTAGAGTGGTTGTGGGGTATGGGACTCTTAGTTTCAATGACTAGGGTTCAAATCCCAAATACCCAAAAAGAAAAAACAATAATAGTATTTTTGTAGGAAACAAAGGAAAATTTGTAGACCATGAGAAGAAACTTTGACAAGATAATGGACTTGAATCAAGTTTGTCACCTTTAGCTGTCTGGCTATTTCTTTGGCATGCAATATGTTTGCCAGTTTGGATTGAGCATAAGCACGTGTGCCATTATAGCTGCATGAACATGAATCATGAACAAGAAATAGTGAGTGTTTTCTTGTAAGTCATGCAAGATGCAACCTGCTTTTCAGCTACTCGCTATAACACGAATTGAGAAGAAAGTGAGTGATCTAATTACTTGTTGGGGTTCAGCATTTGTGTGAAGCTGAAACACTCCCTTTTCACCCAGCTGTGAATTACAGAAGAAAGGTTTATGATTCTTCCTTGGATGCCTGTCTGCTCTGCTGTTTCTATCATTCTTTCTAGCAACATTTCTGTCAATAAATAATGTCCTGCCAAAACCAAAAACAAAGGTTACGAACCAAACTCTTTTCTTTCGGGCTCTTTATAACAAGATCAACTGAAACATGCATCTAACTCATAACATTGACTATCCAATTTGATGAACAATTTGATGCTAATCGGATTGCCTCTCATTCCATGCATGCGTTTTGATGCATGGAAATTGGAAGTGCTAACTCTTATAAATTTAGGGAAAAAAAAAAAAAACAAATAGGAGGCATCATTTACATTAGTGTAAAAGTTACAAATTTTTTTACCCTTTGATCAAAATGGTTAAAAGTAAGTGTTTTGGATTTAATTTTAATCTAAAAAATTAAAAAATGTATTTGACTTTTACACTAATATAACTAATTCTTATTAAAAAAGAAAAAGAAAAAGAAAAAAACCCATAAACTGGACTTATGGACCAAATCAAGTAACTTTTTGGGTAATGCTTCAAATTTTAGTTTTCAAGAATCGGGTCTTATGCGGGCGGATAAAAACTCTTCAACTGAAGAGACTTGGGCCTCAATAGGTGCTTTCTTTGGAGGGGACCCAAAAAGGACTGTATGTTTTATATCCTGGAAAAAGGCTATCAAATTCACATATTCAAATACAAACAAAAAATTGAAGCTAGCTTATTAAATTCTTTATTTCAAAAATAAAACAAACAAAAAATTTACTAACGAAAAAAAAAAGGGTGCTACGTATAGTTAAGTTAAGATTACTTTACCCAAGTAATTTGTTGCAAATGTCATCTCAATTTTGTCCTCAGAGAACTCCAAATTCTGAGAGAATATGCCAGCATTGTTTCTGCAAAATGATCTTAAATTTGTTAGCATTTCATGATCTCACCCTCTCTCTCTCTTTCTTTCTCTCTCTCTCTCTCACTCTCTCTCTCTCTCTCTATATATATATATATATATGAATGAGATATAAGTGTAAAATTAAAAAATATTACATATTTTTTTAATTATTAATTTCAATAGATTGAGAGAAATAATTAAAAATAACAAAAGCTAATTTAATTTTATCCCTTAAATTTTTTGAAAAGAACAGAAAAGAAGAATGTAATTGCTAGTAATGATGTAAAGGGTGTTTTTGTACCCACATGAGGATGTTAAGGGGGAGTCCTAGGGCCAGGAACTCAGTACAGAATCTCTTCACAGAGGCCAAAGAGCTGAGATCAATCTCAGATAAAATAATCTCAGCATTTGGATTCTCCCTTTGAATTCCCTCCTTCAATTCAGCTGCCTTCTTCAGATCTCTGGCTGGTATCACAACTCTCACTCCTCTCTTTGCCAGCACTCTCGCTGTCTCGGCTCCAATGCCCGACGTGGCCCCTTCAACACATGATCCAACTCATTTAATATTGTACATATTAAAATAGAAAATACCACATATATAAAATAAAAATTGAAAACCCAAGATGGAAAGTTTATGATAAAAGAGATCTGCTCTGAACCAATGAAAGAATTCCTATTTACTAATATCTCTAGAAGAGACAAAACCATATCTTTGTGCAAACAAAAAGAACAACTGGTTGAAAAAAAAAACAAAGATGTATTAATTAATATTACAGATCAGAGCGTGGGCCGAGTTAATGGAATGACACAGAAATATTTGCTTCAGAGTTTATCCTGAGGAGTTTATCCCGAAGGGCTCGAAATAGCTTAAGTATGTGTAAGTAATATTCTCACATACTACAGCTAAACCCCGTAGAAATCACAGGCTGAAGAATTTTCAGGCAAATACATCGAAATATTTTTTTCACAATCTGGGAAAGAAAATGGGAAAAAAACAGAGAGGATGCTTGGAAAAATTAGAAAGCAAAGGGGTGGCTTAAACAGCTAGACTACCAAAAGAACCTGAGGAAACAAGCAGACATATATGAACTCGGTATCCGTATCAGACAAGAAAACAAAACCTGTTTTCCATGCACGCTAGAATCAGTGAAGAAAAGGTGATTTTAAAGATGAAATGTTTCCATCACCCTCCTCCCATAAAAGTTGATTTATATTTCAAGACTAACCTGTGATTATAGCAGTTAGATGCTGAGGGTCTACCAAGCAAGAACAATTCTCTGCAACTTGTTCAGCAGTTGATTTTGAGCCATAACCACTTGGACCTGCAATGCCAGCCAAGTACCTTAGTGTTTCCTTCATGATGGTGCAGCAGCTTAAGCTTAGAATCTCAAAGCAGCAAGGCAGCAGTATAGCTAGAAGGAAGAAATATATAGCACACATTGTTTGTGCCACGTAATGGACCTTTGGGTTTTTCTTCCTAGCCCACGGACTACACTTATTGTGTGGTCTGAACCAATTAAATTAAGTTGAGTTGTCAAAGTTTCCTACTCTCTGCTGAATTTACTGACAATTTTCATTTGAATGATTGGTTTTGTTGAACTTGAGGCTCGAGATCACCTAGGATTGGGTGCTCCATTCCGTAGCTGATCGTTTGAGAATAGGAAACGTACATGTGCTGTAATCGTGAAAACCCACCATGGCCTACTGTCTTATCTACTCATAATTATTTGTCTCTTCGCCCTTAATAGGTGGCTTCCATTTGTCGATGATGGGTAGTTTTTTTTTTTTTTTTTCACAATCGGAGGGCCTTTTTAATTTGCTGAAAAACAAAGCAAGTGACATTTATAATATATGATCATGGTAAACTTTGCTGTGGCTTGTGGCTTGTGACTTGTGAGGTGTAAACAATTTAGTGAAGAAGCAAATTTTTTACTTGCAAATAGTAGTTTTGGCCTTTCCTTTTTTTTCTTTTTTCTTTTTTTAATTCTTTGTATTTAAGTGACAAAACCACAATCTGCCTATTAAGTCAGGATATCTTGGATTCTGTGACACATCACTAACAAATGACAATATGCGGGTGATTAAAATACTACCATTTAATTAAAGAGAGAGAAGGAAAAAAAAAAAAGCAAGATAAGTGGAACACAATGAAATCATATCTTTATTTTTTTAGATATAAAAAAGTCAGTAATTTGATATGTGAAATGAGATAATATATATTACAATTTAAATTTTAAAATTATTAAATTATATTGTTTAAACATAATTATATAAATCAATTAAATTAAAATTTGAGATTTATATATTTTTTAATATATGTAATATATTTAAACTTGGAAAATAATGTAATATAAACTACCAATTAGCTTCCTTTGCTCTAGAGAAAAACAAAAGGGAATAATATCCCATGTTTCCACTAAGGCAAAAAAGAGGTTCATATATATATATATATATATATATATATATGATTTCAACGTTGAAAGAAAAGCTAAATCCGTGTTCATTACCGTGGAAATAAACACCATTTAAAAAGCTAGTGGTTTTGATTGGATAGGTTAAAGTTTTTGCCTTCAAATTCTTGCCAAAGATTGATCCAGCACGATCGGTTTGCATGTTACTGACTTACACGTGCACATCTTGAAAATATTCAATTCATAATAAGTAATAATCTTGAGCAATGAATTCAAAATTTTACTACAACGAAAGGCAAGAATAAAGAAAAAGAATAAATTTCAGACAAAAGTGGTTGTTTTTTTCTCCTGTGAGACCGTGTCACTCACGTCTCCTTTTGGTCTCCAATGGGCAAAATTTTCTATCCTTCACTTTGAGAAATGATGGCCAATGTTGGGAAGTTGATGGAGTGAAAGAGAGCAATGAAGTTGACTCCTCAACAATGGAGGTTGTAAAATTGCAATGCAAAAGGGACCCATTGGTTTCCCAACCTGCGTACACTTCTCATCACATTGCCGCTCGTTTGAGCAGCAGCTATCTTTGTAGCTTCACATGCCATTCCTTGGCTTCATTCGTTCAGACATGCCATGCCTAAAAATAAAGTGTTAAAAGGAAAAAGGGATCACTGAAATCAGGCAAGCAGGGCAGGGCGGCAGGCGAAAAATAAAGTTTGATTAGGGGAAGGCTACTTTTGCACTGCCCTCAGCCCATGGCATCGCTATTTTACTTTTTACATATGCTTGCTACAAACAAATTCAAAGGCAATGTTTCATTCGAGATATTTGTAGCTACTGAGGTTTTATTTTAGTAGTTTTAAATAAAAATGTTTGTCTCAATACAAATGAGCAAGAGAAAAATCAATAAGATAAAAACATAAACACATATGTGATTTTGCCATGATAATTTTAAAAAAATAATAATCTGGAGAGCTACATTGTTAATATTTTGATTTGTATAAAAAAATACATAATTTTTATTCATATAAATGATATAAACAATATAAATAATATATAAAAATAATAATAAGAGATATTAATAATTACAACTGATTATACTGATTATAAACATATTTTTTGAATTTTTAATTGATTGCTTTTTGATAATCATGAGTACTTGTTATTACCCATATCACATCCAAAAAAAACCTTGAAACAAACAAAACAAAAAAAGACACTAATCCTGACTCCAGTTTAACAACTGCGGATTCTATGACGCCAGGCTTTCTTCATATCTCTATAATTTACAATTCTATTATATGCATGGAGCATGTAACTTTGACTCATATTTCAATCAAATGAACCGCTCCAAATGCTTTCAAGAAAGGGCAGAATAAAAGGTTAGTTAAGCCACAGACGACAGTGTTTAAATATGTAGTTGGATTGTGTTGGATTGTGTTGATTTGACTCGGCAGGAGTTAGGTGAGAAGAGGGCATCGCTCTTGTCATCGATCCATGTCTGAGAAGTAACAATAGTTCCTTTCACAATTAGACATAGGATGCGGCCAAAGTCCCTAAAGTCAGTTCCTCGTGTCCATGTCCACAGGCGTAACCAAGGAGGCAGACAAGGCCACGGCGCCCTCGTCTCAATATTTAACCGTCTTATAAAATTGTAATTAATTTTATTAAATATTATATTTAGTCATCTCTTTTTTTTTTTTTGAATTTATTATTTGCCTTACCTTTTTAATCTTTTTTAGCTTCATTTCTGTTCATGTCTGATCGTTTATTGATTTATATATATAATCCTTTTTATCCGTTTTGGGTAAATTAAGGTCATGCGCATAACCAAATATTAGAGAGAGAAAATTATAAAATCATATATAATATTAATGAAAATTTTTTATACTTTCATTTTACTTATTTATAATTCACAAAATTATAAGAAAAATTATATTGTTTTACATTTTTATTGTGTTCATTTTTTATTGAATTCATTTTTTTATTATAATTAACAAAATATTTTTATTTTATTTATTTTTCACTTAAAACTTGTAATTTAATTTAATAAAATTGACTATTTATTTTTATTTATTAAAAATATACAAAATGTTATCAAATAATTTTTTAATATTTTACAATATTTTTATATTAAATTTATCAAAAACTATTTTAACCTTTTTTTTTACAATAATTTTAAAACAACTTTACGTCAACAATTTTTTTTTTTTATAAAATTTGAACCCAACCAAACACGCACTGTTATGAGAATAGTTATGAATTTGTAATGGAAATACTACGGGAAAGTGGAAAGGAAGGCATCGATGTTCAAAGCTAGCTTTAGCCAGAAATAGGTTGACTTTTTAATCCCTCACTTGGGCAAATAATCAAACTCCTAATTATCTCAATCAAATCGCCAACAACTCCACCAAATTAGTGTAAATAACATATTTGAGAGCTTAACCAAATGTCATAACAACTAACCAAATAAAAGGACCCCATCTGCCTTTTGCTCCTAATAATATCTCACCAAACCCCAAAAATTAGAATTAGTAAATTAAGATGCAAATTTTTGAGGAAAACAAGAAGGGGAAAAAGGAAGAACCAAGAAAAACACCAAACAGCATAAAATTGTATTTCAAGATTTAGATATGATAATTTTAAATATAACAAAAATGATATAATTTAAAATTTTAATAAAAATTATAAATAAATTTAATAAAAATTAAAAAATATATTTTATATTTAACATATCAATATAAATTATAACATAATTATTTTTTATATTTTATATATATTTAATATAAAATAAAAATATTAAATTATTAAATTTATAAAAAAAAATTTGTAGCTAACTAGTGTGACAGCTGTCTTTATTCATGAACAAAGTTTTCCAACCTGATTTGATGCATTCAACGAAGCTAAAACCCCAACAAAAAAAAAAAAGGCATTGCCGACAAACCCTTAAATTCCCTCCTAATTCCCATATATATCCATCATAGTGGCCTATCTTTTCTATCCATGAAAATTAATAAAAGTGATCATTTTTCATGAGTGCAGTAAGCCCGCACCTCACGTGCCATCTGCCAATTGTGAGACGACATGTGGCTTCAGTAGGGCTCAACCACACGAGCCAATCACGGCGGAGGACGGAGGGTGGGACACGGCTGAGCCTCAGTTGTCCACTTTTTAATAATTCCTCTTAGCATAGATAATTAGCTCCAAATTATTACCATGATTTCTTTTGCTTGAGGACCCTTTCTATGGTAAGCAAGAAAAGGTTGCTTGTCTTTATCTTCATGCACAAAATCTAGCCCAAAAGAAAGATTTTTTTTTTTTTTTTACAATGAATTAAAAAAACAAAACCCAAGAAAAAGAATTGAGCATTAACCTAGTTTAAAGAGAAATGCTTAAGGATTAGGAAACTTGATTGAGACCATGGACACTTACCTCCCCATTACCGACACTAATGTTCATGAAAAACATAGAAAAAAAATTGTGTTAACTTTGTGTGATTAGTTGAATTGTTTTAAGGAAAAGTTGGGAGGTGTTGAAAAGGGAGAGAATTGAGAAATTCTCCCGAGAGCGTACAATAATTCAAAGACAGTATAATGTGTTTGCCATTTCAGCTTGGTGTGATCAGTGGATATAATGCTATTGCCTATTGCTATGGAAAGTGTACATTAATTGGACGAAGCCAAAAGGCAACCAAACTTGGTTTACATGGTTCAAATGTCAAAATTGAGCTTCAAACAATTAACATTGTTTCAGACTTTGGTTTCAACTGTGGTTTTCATTGCTGGATAAATAAATAAATTAGTCTAAAAAACACTTTAGAAGCAGAATATAAAGGGATATTGCTTTTTTATTATTATTATTATTTTTTAATTCTATTCCATTTGGCGACTCTTATGTTAAATCTTAGATTCCGTTTGATAAAAAAATATATTTTGATATAATGGTTGAGCTATAAAATTATATTATTATTATTATTATTATTATTATTATTATTATTATTATTATTATTATATACCTATACCATTAAATTAAAACTTTTTTTTCCTTTTTCTTACCAAACAAAATGTTAAAGAAGGGGTTTGAAATTTCATTATCAT